GGTGCTGCGACGTGGTGGCAGAATTTGGAACTAAACCTGGGATGTTTAGCCTTAAACAGTTTACTTGGTTCTGGACTTGTACAGTGTGTGGACAGACCGACTAGAGTTACACAGGACACTGCCTCCTGCATTGATCACATATTTGTGCGTTACTGTGACATGGCTGCTGTGCGCGCTGCTGTACTGCACACTAGCCTCACCGACCACTATGCCACCGCCCTCACTATACATGACACTGCATACACTGACGCACACACATTTAACATTCGCACTGCAACCGGACCTTCTCAAACTTACCTTGATCACACCCTTCTCACTCAAAATCTCTCTCAGACCGACTGGGGACCTGTCCTAAACTGTATAGATATCAATATGTGCTGTGAAATGTTTTACAAAAATCTAGATTTTGCCTTACAAAATGCAAAAAAACCTATAACTTCAAGATCATCTAGACGTAAAAGAATTAAACCATGGATTACTGACAGTTTGGTAAAATCAATACGTACTAGAGACAAATTAAGTAAATCCGCTCGTCGTGAACCATTTAATGATTATCTACAAACTTATTATAGGAATTACAGACAAAACCTATGCAATCTATTAAAAAGAGCCAAACGAGATTTTTACAGGGAAAGATTGTACCAGAACAATAGGAATCCAAAATTGTTTTGGGGACTGATCAATGATCTTGCTGGCAGGCCACGTAATAAAAATTCATTTCCAATTGATAAATTTATTCCCAGCATGTCTCATGATACTCAAGCCGCAAAACACGAGATAGCAGATGATTTTAATAATTTCTTTGCTTCTGTTGGAGTAAATCTATCGAGGCAGATAGATGCGGGTGGGACCCCAGTGGTTGTTGACTCTGACTACAGACTGGACTCTACTTTCACATTGCAAACTGTTTCTGCACAAGACGTACTACGACACATCTCGGAGCTGCGCGGTGGCTCAGCTCCGGGTCTGGACGAAGTTTCGGCTGATTTACTTAAACAAAACGCACTCATAATTTACATTCCGCTGCTACACATAATTAATCTATCTCTACTGACTGGTATATTCCCGGCTCAATTCAAAACTGCAAAAGTAATTCCTTTATTTAAAACAGGTGATCCAAAAGACAGTAACAACTTTAGACCAATCTCATTGTTAAGCGTGTTTTCCAAGGTGTTAGAGCGTATTGTCAAGGAGCAGTTGGTGGAGTACCTTCATAATAACAATATATTATCTAATTCACAATTTGGGTTTAGAAAAGATAAAAACATCTCTGATGCACTTTTTGAAGTATGTAAATCTATAAATAACTCAATGGCAAATAACAATCGTTCTATGTTAATTTTCTTAGATTTAAAAAAAGCATTCGACTCAATTAACAGAAACTTGTTGATAACAAAATTGGAACAGATCGGTGTCAGAGGCACTGCTCTCGCCTGGTTCAAAAACTATTTATCTGACAGACATCAAGTAGTTTCCATTTGTGGTGTGAATAGTGATGCGAATTCAATTGAGTATGGGGTTATTCAGGGAAGTACTCTGGGGCCTATACTTTTTCTAATCTATATAAATAACATTTCAAAACTGAACCTAGATGGTGAACTATTTTTATTTGCTGACGACACATTAGTTTTGTTAAAGGGTCGTTCATGGGAGGATGTCAGGTCTAAAGCTCTCCGTGACCTCTCACTTCTAAAAAAATGGCTAGATCAAAATGTGCTCTCACTTAATGTGAACAAGACTAAATTTCTTCCGATATCACTCAGTACAAGCACTGATTATAGTCTAGACAATTTGAAGATTCATTGTTGCGGCGACCATAACAGTATATCTTGTAATTGTGAATACATTGAAAAAGTAGATTATTACAAATATTTAGGTGTTTATTTTGACTACCGAATGAGGTGGTCAGAGCATGTAGATTTCTTAAAGAAAAGGATTCGTAAATACATATATGCTTTTAATCAACTGAGTGTCATTTTGGACGAGGAGGACGTAAAGAGAGCTTATTTCGCTTATGTACAATCCTTGATTTCATTTGGTATTATCTGCTGGGGAGCATGCTATCACACCACCTTGGAACCCTTGAATGTGGTCCAAAGATCAATTTTGAAAGTAGCTTTTAGAAAAAATAAAAGGTACTCCACTGATGCGCTATTCCGTGAGACGGGAGTATTACCAGTCAGACATATTTTCATTCAGTTTCTTCTTAGTCACACATTCAAAAACTCAAACACGATCCTTACAGCAGTCACACATCAACACTACACAAGATATTCACACAATGTTGGAATATCTGTCCCTCAGCTACATAAGTCAGTTCTAACTACCAACTGTTTTTATGTTGCTCAGATTCTATATCGAAATATAATTCAAAAATATAATATTCAACACATTTTTAGTTTACCCTCAATACAGAAATTCAAAAAACAGATGCTTGTTTTACTGCACACGATTACCAATGAAGAGGCCGAAACTTTGATCAGACCTAACCTTACTTGACCCTGACTAAACAATCCTTGACCCTTCGACCCCCTCGCCCTCTCAATGTCTCCTGTCTTAGATTGCACTGGCTTTGGTTGTCGTCGCCGACATTCTCTTATCCACTAAAAGATCAAGTTAAATTAACAAGGCTTAAAAACCTTCCCAATTTTAGTGTGTGCCCTCAATTTGCTTAGACTGATAACAGCCAGGCCTACGCACAGGCACCTGCCCATGTAGGCCTATCCCATAAGTAAGGCAATTTTATTTTATTTTAGAAATATTGTACTGTTAAGTTGTATAGCTACTCTCTGTTTTAGTTTATATTCTTGGGATAAATAAACGTTTTTCATTTCATTTCATTTTAGCAGCCAACGGATTCTGGTCAAATATACGGATATGATCATAGTTATTAAAACTTATACATCACATATTAGGCCTAGTATTGCAGCAGAGTATTCTAAATTAAAAGTATCTATAGAACTAGATGGTCTGTAACAAATTGTTGTAATATCACCTGATTACAAGAATACATTGTTGATAATGACCATTGTGCATATGCATTGGAATGGCTCTTTACCACTAGACTTGTACTGGAAGGCGAAAGTAGAATCGAATGTTGATACAGAAAGAGTTAAATACTACTATCGATGTAACGCTTACGAAAAACATAACGCAGAAATCAACTGGTCGATTTGCATAAGATAATAAACTTACCTAAAATATAGTATTGAAAATTGCTTTTTTTAATAAAGCTGGAGATTTTACACACCTTTACTTCTAATACTTTCAGTTCATCAACGTTTGGGGAGCGAGCTGGCGTAGTGGTTAGAGCGCGGGACTTCAGTCCCTGAGGTCCCGGGTTCGATCCCCGCCAAGTCACCAATGGATTATATCCAAGTGATAATGCCGCAACCCCTAGGTCTAGCCTGAAGTAATGTGGAAAACAATCCCAGGCTCGTGCCTAGCATCCTTAGAACAAAAAAAAAAAAAAATACATTAACGTCGATCTTTCCACTATAATTTCAAAGATCCTACAACTTTAATAATACATTTTCTCAAGCTGTATACGGAATCTCCCAGGATTTATGCTACAACTGAACAGTTTCGATATCTTAATTTTTGAAACCATACATTTAACTGTTGAGTAATTACGATGCTAGAATCAGCTAACTTGACTCAACGCGGAAAGCTAATGTGCTGACAAAACACGGGCTACAATTAGCCCCAATGTCGGTGGTTCGTTGGCTTGGTCACTTGGCGAGGTCTATTTTGGGCTTCATAACATCCCAACTGGAGCCAAAACTAAATATATATCGCTAACGTGTGGCATAATTTTCCGGCATTTGAATCGCAGAAACTTTAATCTTCCTAAAATAAGATATTCCGACCTAACAAAGAACCAACACAACATAACGCAAGGATCAAGTCCTTATAAGGAATTCTTGTTATGATTTTTTTTCATTTTTAATACGCCGAAAAACTTACTCCTTACAAAGTATACTAGAAACACTGTGTTACGATATGACACGGAGATAATGTTGGTTGACATAGACTTGGCACTTTGCAAAGGTGATGTTAATGGTGTGTGTAACCATGTTAACAACGACGTGTGTTGTTGTGTGCGTGTGTTAGTCAACTGTGGTGTCAAACTTGGGCGACACACTGTGTTTGTAAGTACTTGCATTAGAGACTCCACGCTGGCTGCGAATCAAAACACTTCAAGTGAATCAAAATACGACGCCTTGACATACATTGATTGAACATTGGGACTTTGTAGTTGTTTTTTTACAAAGATTACATTTAACGATTTATAATGTGTAAAAGTTTAACAATTAGCCACGTTCATGACCTTCCAATGAAATACTTTGCAGCAGCAATGTTATATGACTCGAATAAAAAAGGGGCCTGGGGGTTGGGGCTCCCAGCGAGCCAAAAGCGAGTTACAATTAAACAGCCGCTCATAGGTGTTTTGGTTTGATTTGTTACATTTGATGCTTTTAAATATTTAAAAAAAAATTTTGTCAAATAACTAACGTTGGTCACACACAGTTTCAAACAATTTACTTGCTACTATCTAACGACGCCTTTTCTGTTGGACATCTTTAATTGATAGTTGAATGCTAAATAGCATCTTTGGGTCGACAATGGACCCCGATTTAAATTTAGCCAGCAGTTTTCAGATTTGAGTACGAGCCTAACGAACAGTGAACACTACTACCCCAATTATTTTAATATCTACCCCAGAACAATTGATGTAAAGCGAAATAGTCAATATCAAGGTTATTCCTTTCCACACTGTTTCGCGGTGCGTACCATTGCTGATTGCTCCCAAAAGGTTCCGGAATGCACTTATCCGGAACAGTGTCCTTAGGAGTAATACATTTTGAGTTCCTGAAGCAATGCCTAGATACCCTCTTTCACACCTTTAGAGCCTTGCCTTCTCATTACTGGCGGACCATTATTGCTGTGACCTTACTCTATGTTTCGTCAATCCTCTAACCACCCAATGTTTGTTGCAGGGTGTCGTGTGGGGCAGAGCCTTCCAGTTGTCCGGTGAAGCTGCCATCCCGTACCTCAACAACCGTGAGTGTGTGCTGGGCGGATACCTGACCGCCATCACCACCTTCTACCCGCGACCAGCCGAAGATGACGGGCATACCATGGAGCCCTTCGCCGCCCTCGTGTACATCGCCACACCTAGCAACTGCCACTGGCTGGGTGATGCTCCCCTCAGCGAGATCGCCACTCAGATAGTGTCCTCCAGCGGGGCCTCGGGACACAACGTCGAGTACCTCCTCAGGCTGGCGTCCTTCATTAGAGAGTTCATCCCCGAGGCGGAGGACAACCACCTGTTCACTCTGGAGTTCATGGTGAGGACGAGGATAAAGGAAAACAACATGTGCATCAAGAGTCTGATGGGAGAAGACGTGTCTCCGCCTAAGAGTCCGGAGAGAGAGATCGTGGCAGACGAGATTCAACCCATCAGAGAAGACTCCTTCGAGTTCACCTCCAGGGTTCCGCCGAAGAAGCTGCGTTGTCTCAACATTTGAAGAGGTGTGGAATCACACGCGGAAGACTTCGGTCAAAGACCAATGTTTCACGCACGTGTCGCAAAGGCACAAGCTTTTGGTGCCTTCGTATTGTCCACGAATAACCTAATAAAACGGGTCTTGCGATGACGTTTTTGTTGCGAAATATCGTATCACTAACCAACATGATTGTGATGTAAGGTAACTGACTCAGCCAAATATTGGTTTGAATATTTAAAAGATCAGTGATAGTTATAGGGGAATACAGGGATAGCACAGAACTTGGACAGTGTTGAATAACCTTTTTATAAATATTGCATTTATAAAACCATACAACTTTATAAATAATAGCTTTATCCGCAGCATTATCGTTGAATACCTTTTTGAATAAAGTTCGCTTTCAAAATCGGCCATATAGTGAATATTTTTGTAAACAGTGAAATTTTCAATACGTATTTTGTTACAAATGGGAATACTGTAGTTGTTAGTATACATGGTCTGCATTTCACACTTGTAAAGAAACATAATTTAATTTGTATTTGTTTGGTCTTGAATTGTTTTGCTCAATAATTAATGTTAATTTTTACTGCGAGTCTTTATAAATAAATGTATCTTTTTCTCAGAACTTTAAATTTATATTTTTTGTAATTTATCTATTGATTTGTATGTGATAATATGATACAACTTATCAATTAATTGAATTCAGCATCTTTGTGTAAACCCCAACATTAGTTGAAACAAATGTTACTTTCAAAAAGATAGACTAAACTAGTTTGTTTTGTAATTTATCATTACGTATTAAAAGCTATTGTGATCTTATTTTAAGCCCATAGTAGCATCTTTTTAATGAATTTGTAATTGCAAAGTGTTATTACTTAAGGTAAAAGAGAACAATTATCTGTGATAATCTGATTAACACAAATTGATTGTCCAAAACAATATTCTGAGAAAATTTCTATCAAAAAAATTTAGTTTAGTATACTTTTTCACATGGTTTATATAAATAATAAATTATTGACTATGTTTTACAATTTGTTGTAATTTTATAACCTATCCCACAGAAACCAAACTATTTTTTTCTATATTGTTTACTCAACTATGCATTTTAAAAACAATTTTGGTCTCCAAGTCTAAAGCAAAACCTTGGAAATTTGTCTAGGTATTTGTACCATTATAATTTTATTTGGAAATAACTATAGTATTTATAAGTCCTTTTTTCAGTTTTTAGTTAGTTATTTATCACTGCAGCTTTTATGCACCGAAATGAAATCTTTCACAATTTGAATTCAAATTACACAAAGTACTTTATGTGTGATCTTTATTACAAAAACTTTAAATTTTAACATATTTTAACCATTTTTAAAACTAAAGAAGATATTAGTTTCTTACATTGTTATTTTATTTTCTTTGACTTTACAAACTATCAGCAAAGTATTTAATTGCATTAGCATGAAAGTAAAAAAAAAACCTGAAGCCATGATGAACATTTTTCAAATCATTCAGTAGATCTTTTCAGCAGGTCCAATCCAGGCACATGCTGAATTGTGTAAAGCGTATGTTAAATAATAACCTTAGTTTATAAGTTTGTTTATGTTTACAATATTTTTGTTAATATTTCGTTACAAATAGTGTGTCAATGGACTTTATTGTCCTGTATTTTGTTAACCTTTGCTAACTTGTGCTTTGAACTTGTCGTTGATTTAATCTAAAAATAATATGGGACTTAACGTTCCTCAATTAACAAGGTCATTAACTCGTCTTTGGTGATTAACTAATGTCATTAACTCAATGTTGGTGTTTAAAGGGTATAATGACCTTTTGTTATTTGTATAGCTGTATGATAAAATCCCTAAGGGATTTGTTTTCAGATTTATTTCTATTCTATATTTTACTTTTTAGGGTCTATTTGTATTTTAATTGATTACTAACTGTATGGTGACCTAATGGTCCAACTTGTTTTGTTTTGATTATTGCAGTGTTTCATGAAGTGAAATGCCTGTATGAGGCCTCAAGGCCTGATTAGAAAATAAACTTATACTTTTAAAAGGTGGTATTTAATTAACCACCTTATATTTCTCTACATACTAGAGGTCGTCCAGTAGTCAAAAACTCTAGTACAGACTTCTCTATTTTCACCCTGCGTTGTAAATATAAACATGTGATTGGAATTTCTTCCATTTGTTTTGATTTTATGTTTATTCTGCGTTGTTATTTCGTCACCAGCATGGCAACCCTTAAGGTCCATTGTAATTAGGAAAAAAAAATTCATTTGTTGTGCTTATTTTTAGCCTATTTTAATTTCTGAAGGAATTCTGTACATCTACAGGAAAATTTCCCTGTGATGCACACAAGCTGAGAAAAAAGTTTTAAAGAAACATGCTTGCCTATTAATATATATAGATAGATACAATTAATTGATATATTTTGTATATGAACTGATTTAGATGAAAAAACAATGCAACTAAGCAAATTTACACTTCTTTCCAGGAAATCGCATGCTCTCATGTCTAAAAGATTATAGGTTTACACAAATGTTAATAGATCATAACATAAGTTATCTTTTCGCTGAGGCTGACTTGCAATTTGTTATTTTTTTATTTAATTTACATATGCAGTATAACAAACCTTGAAGCACGTTTCAAAAATTCAGCTAACGAATTAACCAACATCGAAATGTATTCCCTTTATTGCATTTGAAATTTAACAGTTTTATTATTTTCTGTTACCATACCCATTTTATAATAGTAACAGCAACTGTGGTTATTTTTAACGACTACAACTAACAGCTCAATAAGAAAGTTTTACCACCACAAACTCTATTTAACAAAATTGTATATGTCTCTATTCTATTTAGTTACAAACTTAAAACAGAAAAATACAAAATTAAAAAAAATATATAAACCCTTTAAATCATAATTCATTATTGACTGTCTGAAACGGGATGATAATGAATTAAGTTTAAAATTTACCATCCAAACCAGTACCACTGCATTGACTTTTACCATGACAAATCGTCGATATTTATTAGTTTGTATGTACGATGTCCTACGCCTTCTTCTTTGAGAAGAAGGAGATTTCACGGTATATAGAAATCAATGGGAAGAATTGGAAGAGCCCCAAGCAGGGGGAATCTTCTCCATTCCAAAGGAGGGGCAGATGCTAGAAATCAACTGACGAGACACCAAGATTCTCTTTTGTTAGATTTTTTGTAAAACCACAACTTTTTACGAGGATGCGAAGGTAAGGGATACGCGTGTCTTCGTGAAGTAAGTTTATTCCTGCAATACTTTTATTCAAACTTGATGGAAATTCCATTTAGGGCGGCTCCTTGATTACCTTGTCACTAAATGGTACTTTTAAAATATTTAATTCCACTAGGCCTGAAATATTCGATATCTCGTAGTAAGCTTTGACTATTTTGAAAAATTTTGACATTTTGGATTAAACTGAAGAGGATTTTGTAAGCAAAATTTAGAGGCCTTAAATTAGAGGTAGGCCTACATCAAGTTTCACCCCATTTTAAAGGTTTTTATTAATGAAGAAACTCAGCGAAACCCATATGCCTATTCCTCAATCCAGTACAAAATGGTCTTCATATAAAATGTTTATCAGCTAAAGAAAGAAGAACCCACCACATAAATGTATTTTTAATGCATTGTCGCCATCATGTCGTACCGGGTTATGATAAAAACCTATAATTTCCGATCATATTCTTCTTTTATAACGGTCTTTGAAATAAGGTGTCACACAATGGACTTTAAAAAAATTTTAAGCTGTCCCAAAAATATCCCGATTTGGGCTTCCGGGAAAAATTGTTTTATCAACCAAAAAACTGCCTTTTATGCCATAAATGTATGTTGAGTTTGAGCCAGTAAAACCCATTACGATGTTAACAGGGTTTGTGCATACTTATGCATAATCCTGTATATCAGTTTATTAAATCTAACTGCAGACTGTTATCATTATCTGTTAAATATCTCCACATATTTGGAAATGTCTAAATATATTGCTAAATATTAGTTTTACATTGTTGAAAATGCACACTGAAAAATTAGCAAACACACAAGTCAGCTGGTTTCTTCAGACTCTACCCACCTGTCAAATTTCATCCCCCGGCAAGTTTTGATGACGCCCCATTCTGACGCAACCTCCACCCATCGTCTTTCTCCGTTTTCCCGAGTTGTTTTCTTCGCCGGCACCTGGCGTGTGCTCCCACAGTCTCGGGTCACCTGCCGGCTTTGGCTTTGGGCTTTTGGGCTTCTTGGGGCTTTTTGTAATGCGCCCGGCAGCGGCACGCGTAACACTGATGTTCCCACGCCCCCACCACCACTATGGAGAGGGGGGACAGGTGGCTGCTACAGCTGATGCTGTGATTGGAACCTTCCTGATAACACGGTCAAGGACCTCCGATAATTAACTCACTCGGTTGTCTTTGGTAGACGAAGAGAGAAGAGGGGATAAGAGGGTCCATCTTCACTGGTAGCGAGGATTTTGGATACTGCATAGACTCCTTATCCTATTATAAAACGTGAAGGATGAACTGATGTGTTTTATAGGTAAGCCTAGAGAATTGTTACGTTGATAAAACATTTTCTGCATTAATTTTACATTACATATTTTTATTAGGATAAAAAGTTTTAGATTTGGTGAAACAATAATAAATAAACAGGAAACATACATTTAACGGACTTATACGTCAAATGTGTTTCCAGATGAACAGAAAGATATCATCTCAGTAGTCTCACCATAGACAAATATAATTAAATATTTTTGTTTGTTTATGGTCTCACAGACATATATACTTCTGCGGTATATCAATTGAACGATAAAGCTGATAAATCTATATGGAATATGGGAGTATAAATAATCTATGCTTGTAGCGAACGTTTTTGAAATCACCATTGTGTTACTCATGTTTTTAAATTACAGTAGTTAGATTTAGAAAAAGACTACGAACTACCCAAGTAACAAAATTTCGTGGTAAATATATTACACTTATATATATTTCGTTTTTAGAATTCAACTTCCAATGTCCTTCTTTTGGATATTGGTTTATATTGGCAGAAAGTATTTCGTCACCTTGCAATATCCTTGGAAGTGATTGTATTCCAACTTATCAACATCAAATTTTGAATCTATGGTCAACCAGTCAGTGTCAAGGTTGATAGGTAAGTATATAATTGTAACTCTATATCTTAAGAGATAAAAATGAGTGTTAGTATAATCACTACAGCCTATGCAGCAAATAATGTAAGCAATAAGGACACTTGGTAGGTTTTACATTATAGTCATATAGGAATGGTCAAAAGTCTTACTGTGGTAAAACACTAAATATTTATTTTATTTGGATACTTAGAAACGGCTTAATTCTTCTTTAACTTTAAAAAATGTAGACCATTGTTGTACATTTTAATTACTACAACTATTATCACAAGAACTTTCAAAGACACAACGCCGGCCAAGTTTCCTCCAGATCGTGACACCGAGTTCGCATAGCGTGTTTGAATTAAAGGAATGTAAAAGTTGAACACCGTACCGTGGTATAACTGAAACTTAAGTACGGGCGTTTCAAAGTTGAGTGGAGGAATTGGAGAATAACTCATCTTAGTTTCCGTCACATCGTTATTAGCATGTTTAATGCTTTGTGCCTTTGTATCCAGTATAATCAAGAAAGTTTGAATTGGAACATGCAATGGCTATTCATGTAAAATTTTAATAGTAGATGTAATAATTAGTTTGTGGATGAAAATTTAAACTGCGAAAGCGGTTGAAGTTGTACAGTATATTTCGTTATTATATAAAAACTAGGTACTAGATTTGTCTTTATAAGATTTCTTTTATTTGATTTTTAAATCATTTTAATGTTTTAACATTTTAATGTTTTAACATTTTAATGTTTTAACATTTTAGTGGTTTAACATTTTAATGTTTTAACATTTTAAATGTTTTAACATTTTAATGTTTTAACATTTTAATGTTTTAACACTTTAATGTTTACCATGGCTTTTTTCGCCAAACTACTGATCTTGAAGAAGTATTGTGAGACTTAATCCAAGTCTTCAATAGCGCAAACTCAAAGTCAATATACAACACTGTTGATATGACGACAAAATGTTCACTTACAACAAAATTCATGAGTACTGAGTTCAAATCTGTAACATAGGTACTATTAAATAAAATTTGTACTTTTATGTACAAAAGGCAATGTTGTTTGGCAATAATTGGCCTCGCAGGATATGGATTAATACGAATTAATCTTATGGAACCACGCAGTACATGTGAGTTTTCATATAAATGGAAGAATATTGTATCTATCCTTACTGTAGCTGAATACCAAGAGTGAAAACAGTGGTTCTGCTATGAAAACTACCCGTACTAAATTAATCATTAATCGATTAGCATGAACAATTCTGTAATGCAACTCATACATCAATCTAATGAAAACGCATACGACATACGACATAATTTCTAACCATCTCGCCACACATCGCTTAGTGTCTACAGTGGTGGGTAGTGTATAAGGGATGGTGTCTGTCTACTCATCTAGTAATGATTATAAAGATACCAGGGCCATCTGCCCCACTTGACCTAGCCGCCACGCCGTGTCTAGCCTAAGCTCCCTGCTACTACCTTGAACTGCTACTAACTCCCTGCTACTACCTAACTCCCTGCTACTAGCTCCCTGCTACTACCTAACTCCCTGCTACTAGCTCCCTGCTACTAGCTCCATACTACTACCATTGACTTTATATCTACCTACTACCTAACTCCCTGCTACTAGCTCCCTGCTACTAGCTTCCTGGTACTACCTAACTCCCTGCTACTAGCTCCCTGCTACTACCTTCAACTGCTTAGCTTATAAATCACAGCAAGTTAAACTGTCACTTATTGCAGATTAAAGGTGTAAATAGCTTCTCGATTCTCAATTCCATATAATACTTTCTCAAAAATTTACATTAGATATTTACTCAAATACAAGTAATGATTCTCAAATACAATTAATAACTTATCAAATAAATATTGAAAAGGTGTGTTTAAATAAATGT